TTTCGGGGAGCACGTGAGGGAGAGGAGAATGAGGAGAAGAAGGAAAAGGGAGCAGTAGGATGATGAGGAAGAGAAAGACGAAGAGGAAGAGGAAGAGAAAGAGGAAGAAGAGGATGAGGAGGAGGATGAGGAGGAGGAGGAGGAGGAGGAGGAGGAGGAGGAGGAGGACGACGCCTCTTGGAAGCCTCTTGGGGCACTCCTGGGTGCTGCCCAGGGGCCTCTTGGAGGCCTCCTTGGGCCTCTTGGGAGCCTTTGGGGGCTTGTTCGGGACCGCTTTGCTTTGGCTGTCTTCGGGCGTTTCTGGCCCGTCTGACGCCGTCGGAAGCCGTGTTGGATGCCTCTCTAAAACGACTCGGGGCGCATCCTATGGCGCTTCAGGGCCATCTTGCGCGTCTTGGATGCCTTTTGGGTCGTCTTGGGGCCCTCTTGGTGCCCTCTTGGAGGCCTCTTGGGCCGTCTTTGGGCCATCCTGGAGGCATCTTGGGCCACCATGGGGCGATCCTGGAGGCATCTTGGGCCGTCTTGGGCCGTCGGAATGCCGAAAAGAAGCAAATGCCCAAATCTGTCAAAAACCTGATGAGAATCAATGATTTTGGCCTCTGCGTGCCCTCCTGGAGCACCTCTTGGAGGCCTCTTGGGCCGTTTTGGAGGCCTCCTGGGGGCCTCTGGGGCCGTATTCGGCCGTGTTGGAGGCTTCTTGGGCAGACTCGAAGGCATATCGGACACTCTTGGGCCGCCTAGAAGCCATCTTGGACAATCTTTGGGCGAACTTGCGGGCCATCTTGGCCACCTTGGAGGCCATCTTGGGCCATCTTGGAGCCGCCTGGAGCAGTAAAGACCCTGGCAACCGGATCTTCTACGTGGCTGGCGCGCCGTTCCGAAGCCGCAGGGGGAGCTTTAAAACGATTCACAAACTTCTCGGACATCCAGCACACCAGGCACCCTTGTGATAAATCAACAGGGGGCGGCGGATCGAAGACGCCTACGGCGACTCACCGCGGCCCCCTGCCTTTTAGAATCGCCCATGTGGCCGAGCGTTGTGGCAAGAGCTCTGCCAAGCTATCGGACCATGTGCCCCCCCAGCAGTTGAGGAAGCCCTTCGGGGAGCACTTGGAGGAGGATGGCGGGGAAGATCAGGAGGAGAAGGAAAAAGGAGGGGGCATCTTGGGACCATGTAAGTGTGTATGTGTGCACGCATGCATGCATGCATGTATTGAATTGTATTGGATTGTGTTGTGTTGTGCTGTATTGTATTGTATTGTATTGTAGTGTAGTGCTTTATATCGTAATGTGCTGTCATGCTTTTTTAGTGTACTGTGCTGTGCAGTGCTGTACTGTGGCCTATTGTATCGTATGCCATTGTATGCATACATGCGTGTACGCATGTATGTTTGCATACATGCATGGATTTATGTATGTACGTATGCATACATCAATACGTACACACATCTACATCTATGTGTGTATACTGGTCCGTCATTACCTTCAGGCAGGCTCATTGCTGGCAGGCTCATTGCCATCGGTGCGTCTCTTGAAATATTGAGCTTGGCGAATTACCTAACCTGACCGTGTGCAGCTGTGAGTGCCGCAAGAGAGGGGGAAACTAAACCAGGGGGTGGCATTAGGTTTGAGGTGTGCGTCAGAAGTGCGGGGCGACATTGCTGATGCGGACATGTCGGCCGTGACGGATTTCAGCGCGGCCGTGGGGTGCAGCAGGCGGCGGACCTTTCTCTGGAGCTCCCTACGGGGCCACGACACGTGTCAGGGGTGTCCCAACATGGTCGCGGTCACGCATGTGAACCTTGCCACTGGAGCTTTCGGTAGAGACTACGAAGCATGTGATGAGGTGTGCCGACATCGAACTTATCATGGTCACGCATGCGGACCCTGCCAGTTGAGCCTTCGGGGGGGCCCCCTGTAGGGGCCATGAAACGTGTGAGGGGTGTTTCGACATGGGAAGCGTGTGAGGGGTGCGCCGAAACAGAGGGTTGGACTTGCATGCTGACCCTACCACTTGGGCCGTCGGTGGAGCTCCCTATGGGCCCACGAAGCGTGTGAGGGGTGTGTCGAAATTGGCGCGCTCACGCATGCGGACCCTGCCATTGAGCACTGCCTTCGAGGGAGCTCCCTACGGGGCCACGGGCCGTGTGAGGGGGGTGCGTCGAAATGGGGGGTAGAACTGAATGCTGACCCTGCCAATGAGGCCATCGGCGGATCTCCGCATGGGACCACGAAGCGTTTGAGGGGTGTGCCAGATTGGGCGCGGTCACGCATGCGAGCTCTGTTACTGGGGCCTTCGGTGGAGCTCCCGACGGGACCACGAAACTTATGATATGTGCGCCGAGATGTGAGGTGAAACTGCATACGGGCCCTGCTACTGGGGCCTTCGGTGGGGTCCCCATGGGACTACGAAGCGTGTGAGGGCTGCGCCGACACAGGGGGTGTAATCGCATGCGGACCCTGCCACTGTGGCCTCGGGTGGAGCTCTCTACGGGGCCGCGAAACGTGTGAGTGGTGCGCTGAAACGGGGGGTGGAACTGCATGCGGACCCCGCCACTGGGGCCTTCAGTGGAGCTTCCTGCGGGGCCATGAA